CACATAAACCAGAGACTTCATCAGCCTGAGACCAGAAGAACTAGATGGTGCCCGGCTACCACCAATGACCGCCCTGACAGGGAACACAACAGAGAGTCCCGGATGGAGCAGGAGAAAGGTGAGGTGCAGAACTCAAATTCTAGTAAGAAGACCAGACTTAATGGTCTGACTGAGACTGGAGGAACCTTGGAAAGTGTGGCCCCTGGATTCTCTATCAGCCCAGAAATAAAACAATTTCCAAGGCCAGCGCTTCAGACAGGGATTGGACTGGACTGTGGGACGTAAAGAAGAGTGTGCCTCTTAGCTCAAGTAGATGTAAGAGACTAAAAGGGCAGCTTCTGTCTGGAGGTGAGATGGGAAGGCAGAGAGGTTTAGGAGCTGGTTAAATGGACATGGGGAGTCGGGTGGAAGGAAGGAGTGTGCTGTCACAGTATGGGGAGAGCAATTAGGGTCATATAACAGTGTAGGTAAGAATTTTTGTATGGGAAAAATTTAAAAAAAAAAAAAACAGCCACATTACACACTTTTATAAGTTGTCAATATACCAGAATACTGGGGAAACTAACACTTACTGAGAGCTATGACATGGTAGTCTTTGATGTACATTCTTGTACCCAGAGAGGTTATTTTGGACCCTCATATTATTAAATACACCTTTGAGTAGATCCAGGATTAATCTTAAATTCACCTTTGCACTATACATAGAACAAAGTTCTAGTTTGTCATTTAATAATACATTAGACAGTAGGTGGCACATATCATGCAATTGTAATCTAATTCTACCTGTAGAAAATTGAAAGGTTTAAAAAATCTAAATTCATAGGGGTTTTTTTTGTTGTTGTTATTCTTGTTTTGTTTGTTTTGTGCGTGTGTGGTGGTGGTTTTAGTGTGAAAGCCATTGTTTGGAGCAGGTATGTGTGTGTGCCAGACATGATTGGCAGACCATAATACCTTTAAGAAAAATAGATGAGCCCAGTGTTTCATGATTTTTTTATACGTATAATCTTTAGAAATATTCCCTCGTTCATCAGTGTTTTCCCTAAGCCAAGCAGTTTCAATGACAGCCTAGAGTAACTTGGCAGAAGCAGACAGCTCTCCCAGAGCCCAATTCTCTCCATAAATGTACCTTAGTACTGCAAGGGTTGTATTCTGATACTGTTGCCCCATACCAAGTAAATCTCAAGATTTATTTTAAGGCAACTGTCTTCACTGCTTTGAAGTGACTGGCATTTGAGTACAAATAAGTTTTTAAACAGTGATCCTAAATGTTTTATACTCATTTCAAGTTGTGTTGTAATCATTCCAAAGTACAGCTTTATTTTTGGCATAAAGAGTCAAATGAAACTTACAGATAAGTAGGTTTATGGCATTATCAGAATTCTCACCTATTTTTTAAACTAAGATTTCTTCACTTTAGAGACCATATATTGACTGCTAATTTACTGCATGCTCCACTGGGTCAGGAACTTACGTACAGTAAAATGTGATTAATTAGATTGCTTAAAAATAGTGATAGCTTAACTAATTCAATTAGCAGTCCCTTCCTGAAGATACTCTTTAAATGTATTAGTATACTTCTTGCTTTAGTCAGTGTAATTGAGTTCACTAGCACTTTGTGACCCTTATTCAGAAGCATCAGTTCTCATATAGGATTATAGATAAATAGTAAGAAATTAAACTAATTACATACTGAACCATAGAAGTTTTTTTTTCTTTTTTTTAAATCCTCCAGTCTGTCTTTATCCTTTCTTCTTTATTCTAATGTGGAGTGAAGGAACACACATTCCAGACAATTTAAAGTTATGGTTAATTGAGGTTTTTAATGTACTGTGTATAGATTGTGATATGCATGTTCTTTCAAAGTGCATTCCATGATTTTGAGGTCATAGTTGCAAGGTTTCCTTATGTATAGGAAGAAGCTCTTCCTTTTTAAAATTTCATTACACCTACAGAGAGTTGTAATATCTTATTTTAAAATGTTCTAAAACCATATTATCCTACAAGTTGAAGTAATGATAGTTCTTATACTATGTGCCAGGAACTGTTCTCAGCATTTTACATAATTTAACTGATTTAGTCCTGAGACAGGTACTAATATTATCCTTATTTTACAGAAGAGGAAACTAGAAACTAAGTCCCAGGGAGGTTAAGTAACTTGCACAGACACAGCTAAAAGGCAGAGCCAGGATTTATACCCCCACGTGCTGGTTTCAGATTTGTGCTCTTTACTAGTACACATACTGTGTCTCCAATAGAGCATGATAAAATAAGTTAGAATAGATCTGTCATGTTCCTGTTTCTCTGTTTTGAAATGTTTTAACTAAAAATTCTTAAATTTCTCAGTGCCACATGCAGCACAGAAGACAGTAAGAAATGGGACTATTCTATTCAGTATAAACAATAGGGTTTTTCTTTCTAACATTGGACATGGAGATACAGTTCCTGCCACTACATCTATTCTCCACAAACTATATATTTTGTCATTTTGGGGACAGAGGATCTGATAATTATTTTTAAAGGTAACTGGCATTTACTTATCCCTTAGCAGCCCTGATAACTCGGATGGTACGTTTCTTCTTTCATACAAATTACATTCCTTGCCCATCCTTGGAGCTTTGAGTACTCTCTCTCTAAGAACGATATAATTCTTATTTAGCCAATAATGCAGATGACTTCAGAAGTAGGAATATGTTTACTAAAAAAATCTATGGAATTCATGTTGTAATTTGGTTAGACTGTTCCAGACAAAGTCAGAAATAAAAGATAGTTTTAGTCATTTTATATATAGTATGAAAATGGATGCTGTAGATTTAGAGTATCAGTATAAATCTTCCTTATAAAAGGGAAATTTCCCATTGATGATTTAGGTAAAGTACATTTCTTTTTCTCCCAAATATTTGTAGCCTCAAGTAGTATCCAGCATTCACAGGTAAAAAGTGGATTTTTCTGCCGTTCGACCTAATCCTGTTTTCAGCATATGAAATGCTGTGTCATTTTTTTATTTTAATAAGATGGGCTTTGTGCAAATGTATAGATATTGTAGCTCTCTTCATTATATGTACTACCATAATTTAGGTTAAACCTAAGTCACCCTTGCTAATTTGCTATTACATGCTTAGACAGATCCTTTCTTTCAATTGATAGTAAAAGCAACTTGCTTTATATACCAATGAAAATTTTAACTTTGGAGTCAAAGTGAGACTGAAATTAATTTAGGGAAGAATCTATAGAAGTGATTTGTTTAGATTATTTTAACATAGTGTTGTAAGACAGTTATCTTGTATAAGGTATAACTGTAATGAAGATGTAACTGGCTTATTTGTAGGGGAAATTAATATGAGACTGGGTTCCTGTTGATCTTTTGCTTTTGGAAGAAAAAAAATTCCCCCTTCCATTGTCACTTTATCATAATTGCTAAGTAAAAATAAGGTACTTTTCTTCTTTCAGTCTGAATAGTTTCAGAAATTAAAAATACTTGTTGAATAAACGGTATAGCACAGATCTTCTCATTACAGTTCACTTGTGTGCATTTTTTTTTAATATCCACAGCTCGAAAAACCAAGAAAAAAATAAAAGGAATCCAGCAGACCACCACAGGAGTCTCACAAGAAACGTCTGAAAATCCCGTTAACAAAACAATAGTTCCTGCAACATTGCCACAACTCACCCCTACTCTGGTGTCACTATTGGAGGTCATTGAACCTGAGGTGTTATATGCGGGATATGACAGCACTGTTCCTGATACGACTTGGCGAATCCTGACCACACTCAACATGTTAGGTGGGCGGCAAGTGATTGCAGCAGTGAAATGGGCAAAGGCGATACCAGGTAAGATGCGAAGGATGGCAGATTGATAGTGCAAACTTTTGCATTTTTTTGCAGAAGAACTCTCTGGCTCTTTATCATTTTGGTCCATGGAGTTTCTTACTTATCCAGTTCTGGGGATTAACCAGGGGAAGTCAGGTCAGTATGGGAGAGTAGGGAGTCTGTAATAAAACATTTACACCCCTTCCCACTTTTCAGGTTATTACCAAGAGCATAGGCATCTCAGATAGGATGATGTAATGTCAGAACTAGAGTTACAGGACTTACTCAAAATTCTTTTTACACTGAAGTCTAGGAAAAGAAAACATAATGTTTCTAAGAATTCAGTTTGTTTTCCCTCAATTTGTATGTTTTAAAAATTAAGTTATTTGTAAAATTGATAAAATCAGGTGTGTTGACACTTTGTCAAACTATACTAAAGTAGAATGACTAACTGCAGGAAGTGAAATGATAACACACTGAATGCAAGTTTTAGTTGATTAAATTTTTAAGGCAATGTAAATAAAAGTTTCCTTATTGTAACTTGATGTGGAACAGCAGACGTTAATGTTAGTGCCAACTCTCACTTACCAGAAAAAGAAACAGAGGGGAACTGACAAGCTTATATATAGATAGATAGGGACATAACAAGAAGAGGTAGCCTGACCTCTATAATCTCTATTCTATCAAGAAGGAAAAAAGTGTAAAATCAGAGGAAGTTTTTAATTTAAATTCATTGATTGAGTACTGTCCCAAGCCAGGACTCTCAGCTTTCTGTTCTGCTGTTTAGCTCATGTTTATTTAAATAGGCAAAAGGTGACCAAAAAAAACTGGCTACTCTTAAGTTTTTTTTTTACATTGAATACTATTAAAAAGCACTGAGGGCTTAGGTCTGAAGATGACAAAAGAAAACTGTGCCCAGTTAATGCTTCATTTCCTCTGTTAGTAGTTCTCCCCAAACAAGTCTAATTGATATCTGGTCTTTGCCTGTTCCCATAAGAGATGACCTTCTCTTTAGCAACTAGGATGTTCCCTTATACTTTTATTTCTGTTAATTCAGGATTCAGGAACTTACACCTGGATGACCAAATGACCCTACTGCAGTACTCATGGATGTTCCTCATGGCATTTGCCCTGGGATGGAGATCATATAGACAAGCAGGTGGTAGCTTGCTGTGTTTTGCTCCTGATCTGATTATTAATGAGTAAGTTGTATGTGAGTCATTTTCCCTGTATTCAAAGACTATTTTTAACCAGATGATGTTTTCCTGATGGACTACTTTTGTGATAATTTAGGACTGAATCATTTCTACCAGGTATCTTGGAACTGGGGAGACTTGAAACAGAGTTGTGTATCAATGCCTTGGGTAGGCCCAGTGTGATGCAGAGCAAATGTTCATGTGCCGTTCTTACTGTCCCAGGATATAGCTAAGGATGTTTTTTAAACAGTGGGTATTTCTGGGATGAGCACAGTCTATGGCACGTAACAAGGGATCTTATTGTTTTAATTACATAACCCTATTCCAGGAAGGAAACGGAACATGGTAAAACTCATGTTGATCTCACTGTTAGGGAACCATTACAGATGAGGAGATCTAGGCTGAAGGGGTGGGAGGTACGGCCCCAGAGACGAGAGGCATCTCTGCATGGCAGTGCTTGCTCAATGTTGATGACTTGGAAAGAACATGGAAGCAAATTTTTTTTTTTTTTTCAGATTGGCAGAGAACCAGCTAACCCTTAAGATTTTATAAGTCAACTGTCTTAGTTATCTAGTGCTGCTATAACAGAAATAACACAAGTGGGTGTCTTTAACAAACAAATTTATTTTCTCACAGTTTAGGAGGGTAGAAGTTTGAATTTAGGGTGCCAGCTCTAGGGGAAGGCTCTCTCTCTGTCAGCTCTGGAGGAAGGTCCTTGTCTCTTCTGAGCTTCTGCACCTGGGCAATCTTCATGTGACTTGGCATGTGTCTTCCCCCATCTCTGCTTTGCTCGTTTGCTTCTGTCTCTTTTATATCTCATGAGAGATTGGTTCAAGACATACCCTACACTAATCCTGTCTCATTAATGTAACAAAGACAACCCATTTCCAAATGGAATTATAACCACAGACATAGAGGTTGGTATTAACAACACATTTTGTGGGGAACACAATTCAATCCATAACAGTCAAATGTTCTCTCATCTCTAGGCTTCTAGCTGAAATATTTCAGGTGTCCATTCCCCCTTACCTCATTGCAATTTTTCCTAACTAGTTTTCTGCCTTCAGTGTATCCTTCCTGTGTTGGCTAATTTTTTATTCCTAAAGCACAAATTAAATCAATGAAAACTTGTATTCATTGTGTATCGTTTCATTTTGTGCAGAGTTAAAATCATTCTACTTCAGTAGTTTGACAAAGTGTCAACACACCTAATTTTTACCAATTTTGCAAATAACCTGATTTTTTTTTTTTTATTGTACTTCAAGTGAAGGCTTACAGAACAAATAGTTTCTCATGAAACAGTAGTACACATATTGTTTTATGCCATTGGTTAACAACCCCGCAACATGTCAACCCTCTCCCTTCTTGACATTTTTTTTTTTTTAGTGAAAATATATATAGCCAAAGATACACCATTTGAAAAATGTCAACATGCACAGTTCAGTGACATCGACTATGCTCTTCCAGTTATGCTGCTATTCTCTTTAGATGAAGGCTTACAGAACAAAATAGTTTCTCATTTAACAGTTAGTACATGTGTTGCCCTATGACAGTGGTTAACAACCTTACAACACATCCACACTATCCTTACTCAACCTTGGGTTCCCTATCACCAGCTTCCTTGTCCCCTTCTGCCTTCTGGCCCTTGTCCCTGGACTGCTGTACCTCATTAGTCCCATTTGGTTGCAAATAACCTGATTTTTAACCAATTCTGATCATGTCACATACTTCCCAACACACAGATGTCTTCAGTGTCCCCTCACTGACCACCCAGTGCCTACTCAGTATGGTCTTTCAGGCTTTCTACAACTTGGCCTCACCTTCTTTCCCATTGTTCTCCTTCACATACCAAACATACCCTCAGCTCATGATGTTGACCTCACCATAGATGATCTCTCTGCTGTATATCTCTGGATCTTATTACTATCTGCCTTGTATTGCTACTATCTGTGCCCATAGCTTATCTCCTTTATTAGAACGTAAACAGGGAATTCATACACACACACGCACACAGACACACACATCCACAGTCTCAAACAGAGTATAAAATAGAGATTTGTGTTTGTGTTGGAAAAAGAGGTATTTCTTTCATTCTAAGCTCTGCATGCTGTTGATAAAGGTTCCAAAAAATTAATGTAATCTTAAACCACATTAGAATAATAGCCCCATTGTACTCTCTGCCAGTCGTTTTAGTATTTGTGTTCAGAGCTGGGTGCCACATTAAGAGTAACACTGACAACCTGGAATGTATCCAGAGCGGCAAGGAGTTTGAAAAGTAACACTGATTGATGAACAGGGGCTGTTTGGAGGAAGGAGAAAAGGAGACTTGAGAGAGATAAGGACAACCTGAAATGATATTCCATGAAGATACAACAAAGATATTCTCTCTTGGGTGAGCCAGGCTCCAGAAAAATGGGTGGAAGTTACAGAAAAGCTTTTATTTGAGCTGAATGTTAAGTGGAAGGGCTTGTCTTAGGAAGTAGTAGGCTTCCATTATTATGCTTTAGCAAGGACTGGATAATACTAGCCCCAGATATCTTAGGCATTATGCAAGAAGCCACAGGTAGTGGGGTAATTCTAGAGCCAAGACACCTCTTCCTTGTACTAAACCAAAAAATCCAAATCCGTTGCCATTGAGTCGATTCCGCCTCATAGCGACCCTAAAGGACAGAGTAGAACTGCCCCATAGGGTTTTGAAGGCTGTAAATCTTTAAGGAAGCAGACTGCCATATCTTTCTCCTGTGGAGCAGCCAGTGAGTCTGAACTGCTGACCTTTTGATTAGCATACGAGCAGTTAACTGCTGCACCACATATCTGGCAGAATAAATGGGAACTACCTAAAGGAGATATTTCTGGTTTCCCTTCTACTAGGCTAGCTGCATAGAAATCTGGTCTAGAAATCCTAACTTAACTATCGAGTTAAACTTCGTGTTGTTTCTCCACTGGTGATAACTTATTTTCCAGTACAGTATTTATTCAATGATTTTGAGAACTCTTTTAGGAGCTTGGGATATAATACATAACATAATAGATGAGGCCCCTGCTAACATTCTTAATGGGGAAGTCAAACAAACAACCAAAACTATTTCAGAGAGTCATAATGTAATAGTGTAACTAGGGGAGGGGAGGAGGTGCTACTTTAGACTTTGTGACCATAGAAGGCTTCTCTAAGGAGCTGAGCATTAAGTGGTACCAAAGAGCAAGCCATGTGAAGGGGTTGGGCATTCCAGGCAGAAGAAATGGGTACTAAGGCTTGACACAAGCTTATCACATATGAGGAATTGAGAGAAGGCCACTGAAGATACAGTATGAGTTTAGGGAAGTAGACAGGGCCAAGTCAAGCAGAATCTTGTAGGCCATGAAAAAGAGTTTAAATTTTATTCTAGGTGCGAGAAGACGACAGTGGAGGGCTTCGGAGGATAACACTATGGAGAATGAATTAGAGGGGAGTAGCAGATATTTATCACACTCCTAATATATGCCTGTCGCATGATGTAGCAGAGAACAAGGCAGACAGAGTTCTTGTCCTTGAGTTGCTTACCTTCTAGGGGAGGATAAACAACTACCCACCAAATAAATAATTTCAGATTGTGACAGTTTTTACTAGAGCGAGGTCTGCTTAAGATGGGTGGCTAATTGCTTCTTGGAGGAAGTGCCATTTGAGCTGAGACCTGAAGGAGAAGGACCAGTCTTCATGGTGAGAAGTGACATGACAAGAAGCATGTGAAGTAGATTTACTGTAATCCAGGAAGGGGCCATATCTCAGCGCTCAGCTAGTAGGCACTGCCATGTGCTTGGCCTCCCCACGCCTCTACACAAACTCCCAGGTATCTGTATCAGGGCAAGAAGTCACCTGGACTGTCTGTTGTCAGAAAGAGGAAGGACAGTTCAAACTACCCCATCACAACAAGGTTTAAGTTGTTAGATTTAATTTTAAATTAACGGTAAACATATTTAGCCTATACATAAACTCTGGACATTTAAACTCTGTGAGTACTTACTGCCCATTTCAGAATCCAGCCATGCTTATGTAAAAGCATCATGTTGTCAGTATTTATTTACAGTCACTTTCTTAAAAGCAATTTGAAGTCATTTAATTTGGATTAAAGTTGTGAACAGAGGTTTATATGAAACACTGGCTTATCCTCCTCTTTTATAAAACTAATTCAGATTTTTTCTTAATATGGCACTCATATTTAGAGTTAAGCAGTCACAGCGTAACCCTATCATGCTACATAAATACGTAAAGTAAGAATTACAGACATTTTTTCCGAAAAAAATTACATTACTTTTTCCTTGTGAATATAGAAGAGTGCTTTTTGAAAATTTCAGTTACAGGATTATCTTAACACTAAGTGTTCAGTTTTACTGGAGGACAGATGGTTTATAGGAAAATGGTTTTAAAGAGTGTGCATCCCCGTTTCCCATTCTTGTGTCTTTATGCTGCTATGTCTGAGATGGGGAGATCGCTCTTCTCTTAACCCACTTGTTTCCATACTTCTCTGTTTTGTGAGATACAGATTTGGGTTGCCAGAAAGTCTTTATTCACTTTCTGGCCCTCTGTGTAGCTATAAAGCAGCCTGGTTGTTCTTAGGTCTGAATGTTGTAAAAAAAAAAAAAAAAAAAAAA